CTGGGCAGCATTGGCATCATAACAATCATCAGTGCTGAAATATCCTGTACTGTAAATACACATGTATCCCAGCTGATCCTGACCCTGTCCGTTGTGGTAAGAGATTAGATCAAAGCAAGGCGCCATATATTGGGTATGTTGAGTAAAAGGCTGGATTAGCTTTCAAGAGATTAGCTGACGGCTACCACCTGACAGGAGATAATATTGGTAAAGATGGAGCTGCTTTCCTTTGGTGTTTGTTAAAAAGTGTTTTAGTTATGTCTTTCTAGTTTCTTAGGAATTAAAGGAAGAGTCTTTCAACTGAAAGTTGCACTTTTTTACACTGCATGTTTGATATTCAAAGGAATTCAAAGTCTTGGCCCAAGCAAACAATAAGTAGTCCTAAGGCTGGCTGGTATATCAGCTTTTTTAAGTACTCAGCTCGTTCTCAGGTTCTCCTCAAAGTTTCCAACTTCTTTGACTACAGAAGCTCACAGCTCACATTAGCACACTGCTGCCGCTTGGAAATTACTTGGAAGCAATTGTTGATTAAAAGTGCTATTTCAGTCGGCAACTGTTCATTGCCTGAAAAGAAACAGAACAATATGTCTGTTGGTGGTATGACAATATAGGCTGCAGCCTGTGTGGGCACAGAGAGTAGGAGAGAAACAACGAATATAAAGGGCTCACACATCCTGAAACGAGGAAAAATGCAAATATAATGCTAATTAGTGATTTTAGACAATAGTTTTTCAGAAAAAGAATAACATCTGCATTTTATTTTTATGACTTTCTGTGATATCTATCACTGTAAATGGCTAGAAAAGGTAAAAAATATTCAAATAATGTATATACTCTTTTATCCAAATACAAACTATGAGAAGTCTCATCCCAATATTCTTCAAACTGTTCTGCATTCTGCTGAGCTGAATCCCAGTTAGAAATTGTTTGGCGAGAAGTCGATAATAAGTATAGGAGTTTTTCAGACAGGCTGAAATGTGTGAGGTAGCTAAGAATAAAAACATCCCCTCATGGTACCGCTGTCATTCTGTGGAGGACCCATGACTTTAACATGTGCAGAATTGATTTACACTGGAAATTGTCAGAGGAGAATGGTCAGAGTGCTGCTTATAGGAAGGCAAAATGAACTCAGATAACCACAGTATGCAGAATATCATCTGTAGACGCACAACATATTGCACCTTGAAGAAGATGGGCTAAAGCAGCAGAAGACCGCACTGGGTGCCGCTCCTGTTGGCCAAGAAAAGGAAACTGAGGCTACGATTCATATTGGTTTGCTAAAATTGGGCAACAGATGACTGGAAAAATGTTGCCTGATGAATCTTGATTTCTGCTACAACACTTGGACAGTAGTGTGAGTGAATTTGATCATGGATCCATCCTAGAAGTTCAGGCCTGCTTGTGGTGATGTAATGCTGTGGGGGATGTTCTCTAGGAATACCTTGAAAACCTCATTATCAATTGGCAATTGTTTGAACACCACAACCTTCCAGACTATTGTTGTTGATTATTCCCATCCAGTTATGACCACAGTGTACCCATCTTCTGATGGCTGCTTTGTGAAGAATAATGTATCACAAAGCTCAGATTATTTCTGTCTGGTTTCTTGATCATGACGGTGAGTTCGCTGTACTCAAATGACCTCCACATTCATCGGATTACAATCAAATAAAGCCCCTTTGAGCTGTTGGAGTGAGTGATTGATGTCATGGATGTGCAGCTGGGAAGTCTGTATACATCACCAAAGAAAAAGCATTTCACGTGATATGGAATGAGCTGCTCAGCCAGCTGATGTGAATAAACCATCTGATATCATGGCCTCTCTTTGAAACAGATCACAGACACACATTTCACCATATGCACCACCCCTTGTCCACTCACCTGCCCGTGCCCCAGCGTTTACGGAAAAGGGTACACAGCATGGAGAAGAGGCGCAAAAAGAAGCGCAGGAAAAAAAAGACTTCGCTGCCGCCTTCTGACGTTACGCCTACCATACACGAGGTAGACGAGGAAGAGGCGGAGTCGGAGACCGAAGGGCAAGGGGTGGCTGTCACTCACACAGAGCTCCCTGAGGTCCAGCCACAGGTAAAATGTGACTTATACAGTGTAACTTTTGCAAAATCCACTCATGTACCTGAGCTGCTGATAAGATGATTGTGGCATTAATACTTAAACAAAAGAGAATTATCTGTGGTTTTGATTATGGTTTTACTACGTATAGCCAGATTTATATATGCCTCCCCCTCACTGATCCTCCTCTTTCTCTCAGTTTAGTTTGGGGAGCCAAGAGGACTTGGGGGAACCCCTTCACCACACTATCGTCCACACGGAAAACGAAGAACAACCTTTGTCGAGGAAAACAACTGCGCTCACTCTGACAAAGGGGGCGGCTCATAATGGGGGAATAACTGTTACTGGACAGAACGATGACATGGATGGAGGAGAAGCAGCATGCGACAGGTGTGGTTTCACAACATCTGAGTCCTCTCCAATGTCCTAGTAAACATTTGTAAAATGTAAAAAAAATCTGCAACGCTGCCCAACACAAAGATGACAAATATTCATATAATTTGTTTCATGTGTTTCGCATAATTAGCGTGTCTGTTGCTACAGGACATTGTGAAAAAAGCCGATATGCTACAGCCTACTTACTGACCAGTACTGACCTCTTGTCAGTCTTTTAGCTAAATTAGCTCAAATTGAAACCTTTTCTAGGTCCCATATTCTACCACTTTAATACACATATTAATATTACGTCTTAAAGTCGTAGACTGTAATATGTGTATTCATATTACATCCAGAATGTGTATTTTAAATTCCAGTCGTAAATGCTGCACACTTGCACTCTGACTGTTTGATAATCAGTTTCAGTGTTGGTAACTTTAAATCAAACTAGTATGGCTGCTGCACCCGCCCCTTTCAGGAAGAAGTCTGAGTGATAGAGAGAAGCAGCCAATAAGAGCAGCACATGTGTTTCAGTATACTGTGCAGTGCAGACCTGAATAAGTCACTCAGTGGCTTCTGACTTTCTCTCCGAATGATAGTTTGGCTTGTAAATGGTAAATGTCCTGTATTTGTATAGCACTTTACTTAGTCCCTATGGACCCCAAAGCAATTTACACTACATTCAGTCACATTCACACACTGGTGATGGCAGCTACATTGTAGCCACAGCTGCCCTGGGGCGCACTGACAGAGGCCAGGCTGCCAGACACTGGCACCATCGGGCCCTCTGACCACCACCAGTAGGCAACGGGTGAAGTGAAACAACGACCGAGACCGTCAGAGCCGGGGCTCGAACCGGCAACCTTCCAATTACAAGACGAACTGTCAACTCTTGAGCCACAATCGCCCCAGTAAATATAGCCAAGTTCTTGGCACAGCTGTTGTTTTTAACATTTGTGAATGCAGAGTTTGTCAGACAGCATCACAATTATAAAAATCTGGATTTTAGAGGTGCAGAACAGCTTACTTAAGCTCCGCTGTGGTTAATACAGTGCACATATATAAGTGTTTCATGGGTGTTCTATTGTCTCACAGCAGAAACAGAACAATATTACTTGACAACAGATTTACTGAGAATTTAGCTGTATCAGAAATGCAGCATAGGTAAACTGCTAGCAGAGTGCTAACTGAGGTTAATTGTGCTGAAGAACAAATATGGAGTAACACACACCCAGTACTATCGATTTTTGTTATCAATCAGCCCTTAAAGTTTCCACTGTTCGTGTTGTCCCTCACCGCGATGAGCTCTGACCGGCATGCATAGGATCAGAGCTAATAATTATGTTCCCCACATTAGCCCTGCTTGACACTAAACTGGTTGTAATGCACATCATTGTACAAAGAGAGGATCTTTGTTACTACGTGAGGAAGTCAGGAGCAGAGATGGGCAGCAAGTAACGCGTTACTGTAATCCGATTACTTTTTTCAAGTAACGAGTAAAGTAAGGGATTACTATTGCAAAAACGGTAATTAGATTACCGTTACATTCCCGTAGGA